GTAACCATTCTGTTCCGTTTCAATGAAATAATTGGCAATGATTAGAAGTTTAGAGTGCAGTTCTCAGAGGAAACATTACAGAAGAATTCATATTCACTGGTTACAACTGGAAATACAGGCCCACTGTCATCATTTGAGCATTGCTGTGTGTGTGTGTGTGTGCGTGTGTCTGTGCGTGTGTATGTGCGTGTGTATGTGTGTATGTCTCTATGTGTGTGTGTCTGTGCATGTGCCTGCATTATGTACATGCTGTGTCACCTTCGGTGAAAGGTTGATCTTATGGTAAATATAGAACAGCAAAGCCTAGAGTTCAGAGCTCCCATTCACTTAACAAATGCTTTCAGAGGTTGTTGGTTAAATATAGTAAAATCACTTTAACCACTAATTTTTCAGGGTCCCTTTCAAGATGTCATTTTTTGACATCTTGAAAACACAGTAAATTTTTGTTTTAAATGTGGCCAACAACTGAATCTGAATGTAGAAAATGCCAAAAGTATAGGCCCCCGCAAAGCTTCTCAGGGGTTGTTCTGGAGAACAAAATTCGCATAGTTTTAGGATTACAAGAGTAAACCTAGTGCTGCTTTTCACCTGCCAGACAGAACAGTGCTCCACAGTGTGTCATCCCTACTGAGGAGATAGGGAAGCCAGAGACGAATGATGTTGATGTTGATGAAATATCAGTAACCCAGGTAATTGCAGACAAATACAGATCTCTTAATGGCAGTGGCAAGGGATGTTAACGGTATAGAAAGCCATCTGGGGAGATGGGAGAGGACGGAAGAGCGGAGTGACTGCTTCTTCGCACCCATTGTTCGTTGTCACTTAGTCAATTTCCTCAATGAGGCATTGATTGAGCCCACGTTTGTTGAGTGTCTCCCATGGAGGACAAGAATACAGACACTGCCTCCAAAGATCTAGGAATTCAAAAGAGGCAAAGAGAAACCATCACAAAGCACAATGTGGAAAGTATCTTTCAATCATTTCTCCAGCTGCTTATTCGGCAAAACTTTCTTGAGCATGTACTATGTACCTGGCACTGAAAATGCAACGTCTCCTGAAACAAATATGGCCAGAGTCTTACATCTTAGTGGATCAAATTCTCATTTGTTAGTTTTGATTGTTTCGTTGGGAAATGAGATAAATCGTGGACCTCCATAAACATTTGGACCATTGTTGAATGACACCTTGGATTCCACACTCCTTTTTCATTTGAAAAGTGAAGCAGAGAGACAGACACTAGAGCTTCTCCCAGCTGTCACTCTCCACTTGGGACATTGGCGCCACTTGTGACTTAAATCCCCTGAGAATCTTCTGCATTCTGGCTCAGAAGGCAGGGCTTGGCTGTGCTGTTGGCACAAAGGGCCTAATTATCTACTGGGAGAGGATGTGACTGTAGTTCTGTGACAGGGAAGGCGGAAGAAATCAGGTATCCCATAAGACTAACAAATGGTGGAAGAAAATGAGCCAACACATTTCTAAGCCCAGATGAAAGAGAGAACGATGGATTGGGTTTCTCCCACCATCTCCTACCGCTGCTAAACAGGACCACACGAGAAAATTTTTAATGGGATACCAGGAAATCTGCCAAAAGAAACAATTTCCCAGAGAAGGAGGCTGGGGACTGAGGGTCCTGTTTCACAGATCCTTGGCTTCCAGGAGGGCAGGATGTGACCCTGGGTGTGTGATGTAAGATGTTCACCACAACCCCCTCCCCAAGTCCACCTCCTCTGGGATAGAAGTGACACCATATGCCTAACTCCTTGTGGTCACATAAATGACCGTGTTGATTTGTTTCCAAAAGTGTCACCCCCCCCCCCTCAGATAGAGAAAGGAGCTACCTGCTCCCATCCTCAGAACCACTGCAAGGACATCCTGTTGAAGAACTTATTTTTAAAGCACTTAAGAAAGTCTTCCATGAAAAAAAGCAAAATCTGCTGTGAAATCTTTCCCCTTTTGTGTTTAAGTGACCATCAACAGGATGTTTTATTTTGGTTTTGCCATCTCTCCTCTCCCAGCCCACTTAGTTTTAGTTCTGTTCCATCTGAAACTTTTCAAGTGGTAATTTGCAAAGATGAGGCCATGTGACAGCTGAGATCAGAAGACTTCTATCCTGGCATCCCGTATTTCTTCCTTTCACAGGCTATCGGGTAATTACATTCAATAGACTGAACTCTTGCTTTTCTTCTTCTCCAAATAAATATCTCTTGAGGAAATTATCTTTGTTTAGCTTGTGATTTTTTGATACATTCATCAAAGGGTGAAAGGATTTGAATTAATGAGGGGTTGATTTTTATTTGTTTGCTAACCTCTTTGATTTGTACTTTTTTCCTGCTTCTTTTTTCTTCTCTGATATCATTCCCACTCAGAAACTGCCAACATTTCCATTGAAATGCTTGCTGAACTTAGAAGCTTCCTGGCCTGTGGCTTTCTACATTTAAGACACGTATGGTATATTGAGAAAGGTTTGGGAAAGCACGGAAGGATAAAAATAAGATGTGAATCATCTTATGAGTAAGATCATACCTGAGAAAACATATCCAGTGCGTTTGGAAAACGAATCAAGGGGTACAGAGCTAATGGAGCCAAACAGTTCTTTTCCTCCTTTAGTTTCCTGCGCTAGCCTGTGTTTTCTGTCCTTGACCAATCTTTTCCCTCTTCCTAGTCCAGTTCTGCTTAACTCAGTCTCCAGCCTTTGTCTGCACAGTACCATCTTGGTGGATGTACTTCCTTTCATTACCTCTGGTCCAGTCCCATCCAGACTGCATTTAACTTCTCTACTCTTCCCCAACTACCGTCTTCATTTCCTGAGCCCTGGTGTGCATGAGCTTCTTATGACCCCATTTCCTAGTTGAAATCCTTCCATCTCTAGAAAATAGTGTTTGCAAAGTGTCTGGATAGCCAATAGGTCTAATAAGTATTCTACACACACCCCCTCCCTCTCTTTTGAGAATTGCCATGCAGTGATTCATGTCACTCTTCCTTCTCCCAGGAAAGTGTATGAATTTCTTAGGCAAGACCAGGTAAATAATGTAATCTAAGAACCAGCTAGCATCATCCCTCAAGAGTCTGGCTTGAAGCCTCTGGTTTAGGCAGTGAGGAAGAGTCGTCATCTTGGTCATCTGCCTTCTTACAGTGCTTGGCCTAGCTGGACCCTTTGTCATTAAGGCCACTGCCCACTTTGTTACCTGTCCGCAGATTCTGTCTTTTATGTTCTAAGATAATACGAGTGACCATAACACTAGTGCATACCCCTTTGCAAGATCAGCCCTTTATTCTCCCACAAGACTGATAAAAACAGGGATTCAAATTGATTAAGATCAAGAAGCGTTAGACCAGGTGCAGCTCGGCCTTAATCTTTCTGTTTAGTCAGGTCTGTTGGAAGCTTCCCGGTGTCTCAGGATCTGAACTCTTTAAAATGGAGATGTATGAGATGTTATCTGAGCAGCGCCTTTGTTTTACATGAAGCATGTACTTCTCCAGCAGTCTGAACACCAAACCTATTTTATGCAATTGTGGGAGAAAATAGAGTGAACATTTCCCAGCTCACAACCTCCACCTATCAGCCTCCACAAAATGCCCCTGGGGACAAGAACCTAAATGTACTCTCGGGTACAACCAGTGAATTCACCGAAGAGCTTGCAGAGGCCACTACGTACTCAAAATACTGCCTTTCATTTCTGTGAGCTTGAACTTGTCTTTTCTTTTTGTGGACAATGGTCACGGCTGAGACCAAAGATTAATAGAACAGGTGTTTTTCCAAAAAATGGGTTTACTGCATGTCTTTGCCAGAACTCTTGAGTACACATTCACGCTTATTGAAGTCTCAGTGCTTTCTGCATGTCAGTGTGTTCCAGAATGATGTGTCACTATTGTGATGCTGAAGGAGTAATTATCCAGTTTCTAAAGCTTATTTTTTATGTGGAAATAAGAAAGAATGTTTTTCCATCTCTACTCAGTTCTACAGATTTTCAGTCTTCACAAAAATATTCAGCAATGTCCACTAAAAGTCAACTGACTATAACATTTCAGTTTTCTCAGATCTGAGAATACAGTGAAGGAGGGGATTACCATTGCTTAAAAATAGTTAAGGAGAGCCGGGGGCGCTGGTGGCTCACGCCTGTAATCCTAGCTACTCAGGAGGCTGAGATCTGAGGACCTCAGTTCAAAGCCAGCCCGGGCAGGAGAGACCGTGAGACTCCTATCTCCAATAAACCACCAGAAAACCGGAAGTGGCGCTGTAGCTCAAGTGGTAGAGTGCTTGCCTTGAGCTGAAGAGCTGAGGGACAGCGCCCAGGCCCAGAGTTCAAGCCCCACGACCGACAAAAAAAAAAAAAAATAGTTAAGGAACTCTGTGCCACTGGCTTATGCCTGTAATCCTAGATGCTCAGGAAGCTGAGATCTGAGGATCACAGTTGAAAGCCATCTCAGGCAGCAAAGTCCATGAGACTCTTTATCTCCAATCAAACTGCAAAAAGGTAAAAAAGGAGGTGTGGTTCAAGAGGAAAGGTGCCAATATTGAGCAGAAAAGCCAAGTGTGAGCGTTAAAGCACTAATACTGACACACAAAAAAATGGTTAAGTAAATTTTATGTAAGGTTTGTTTTACCACAATCAAAATTACGTGTTTTTATTATAAAGAGCAATTTTTAAAATTTCAGGAAAGTTGATTCCAAAAAGCAATATTTATACTTTTTCCCATCCTGTGCATACAGCAGCTATACAAAAGAAAGCTTTTTTATATAAATAAATTAACAAATGAGTCACCAGAATGATTCTAATTTGCTATTTAAGATATGTGCAAAGATCATTGGATATTCTGATCTGAGTCACAGGCAGACACTGTGTTGGTTATCTCTTCTTAGCTGCTTGTTATGTTAAAGAGTAGCAACCAAACCTGCAGGGAGGAGATAGGATTATGTAGCAGGAAGACCTGATCACTGATCCTTTCAGAGCAGTTTATAAACACCAGCCCTCTGTGTCTTTTATTTCTCTGCCTCCTAGATGCCCAGCCCACAGAAGGAGAGAGAGAGATATGGAACCAGATCAGTGCTGTCCTCCAGGATTCTGAGAGCATCCTTACAGACCTGCAGGCTTACAAAGGCGCCGGGCCCGAGATCAGAGACGTATGCCAACCCTCTTGTGATCTGACAGCACCCTGGGAGGAAAAGGGGAAACTACACACACACACACACACACACACACACACACACACACACACACGTACCAGGATTAACTAATAGTCCTGGTATTTCCTAGATTATTAGGAAAGTCAAGATGCATAATGTGTCCTTTAAGAAGATGTATGAGTGGCTCCTTTTAGTTCTGGAACATTAACGTGAGCCCATAGTGATACAGTGTAAAGTGTTAGCTGTTCTCAACTCAGATCTTCATTTGATGAAGATTCACATTCTGACAATAAGGTCAATAGATTACTTCATTTAAGAGCAATATACCTGTAAAAGCTGTGAATAAGAGTTGACTTAAGAGTCAAGGGTTCTGGGGTGATGTACTTCCCATAGCCTGTGACAGTTTGGGTTAGGTTTCATCACAAAAACAACAGCTGTAAACCATCTTGCTTTCAGTAGAATACAGGTACTTATTGTCTTCAATGTCTTAGGTTAAAAAGAAAAAAGAAAAGCCAGGCGTCAATTGCTCAGGCCTACTAGCTACTCAGAAAGCTGAGGTTCTGAGGGTCATTGTTCAAAGCTAGCCTAGGCAGAAAAGTCTGTGAGACTCCATCTCCAAAATAACCAACAAGAAGCCAGACTGGAGGTCTGCCTAAGGTAGAGCACTGGCTGACCAAGAGCAAGTGTGAGACTTTGAATTCAAGTCTTTTCCAGAAAAAAGAAAAAGACAAAAAGCATGGAAGAAAATTCATAATTCCTTTAAAGAGAAAAAAAATCACACTTTTACTTAAACGCATTAAGATTCTCTTCTTCGCTTGTTTTCTTTGTGTTTGTTTGAGATGGGGCTTCTTGCTATGTAGTCTAGATGAGTCTTAAAGCCCCTGGCTCAACTGATCTTCCCACCTCAGCTTTCAAGTAACTGAGAACTACAGGCACACACTACTGTCTAATGTGGGGATAATACTCCTAGGGTACGTGTCAAGAGACACAGACACATGTCTGTATGAATGCACAGACATGCGCGCGCACACGCGCACACACACACACACACACACACACACACATCTGCACACACATGCATGCTCACCACTGTCACAGCCACCATTCTTCTGAGAAGAATTCCACCATCAACATAATCCAAGACCCAGATAAGACCACACTGCTCAGAAAGCACTAGTATCTTAAGAAGGTTTTCTTTTTTGTTTTATGGTGGTACTGGATTTGAACTCAGCATTTCACACTTGTTATGCAGGTGCTTTACTATCTGAGCCATTCCTTCACAATCCTCCTTGCTCAGCCTCATGGGTAGTTTTCAAGACATACACATATCACTGAATTGTCCAGCAATTGGTTGAGATGTATCAAGGTCATAGTTTGTTTGTTTTGCCCAGGCTGACCTTTGATCTCAATCCTTCTAATTGTACCTCCTGGTAGCCAGCATGAGCATGTTTTCTTGGTTCAGAGATCATCGTTTAGGTAACATAAAGACTGGCAAGAATATAGTATATAACTTAGAGAAAGGACAATATGTAATCTACCCTTTATAACAAATCATGGCTCAACTTCGGAAAAATCCAATGCTAATGGAGAACTCACATGTTCTGTTTCAAGATGAAGAGACTGAGACCGCACAGATCTACCTGTAAAACCATTTGCTTTGTGTTCAAGTACTAAAATTCCCTTTCAAAATAAGCCCATTAGGAGACCGTTCAGTGAGTCTTTGTAAAGCAAAATAATACCCACTCACAAAGTGCACAAGGATTGCATTTTTTTAACTGAAATCCTTTCTCTATCTTAGGACATTTCAATGAGATGTTTATTACTACTCGTAAAACAGACCATTCTGCCATGTTCTTTGTAGGCAATTCAAAATCCCAACGACATTCAGCTTCAAGAAAAAGCATGGAATGCAGTATGTCCTCTGGTTGTGAGGCTAAAGAGGTTTTACGAGTTTTCCATACGGCTAGGTGAGTGTGTTTATCGTCTCCACGTCCCACATGTGAAATTCTGTTTTGCAATTGGAGAATGTAACAGCAACAACACTGCGTACTGGAAAATGTACTACTGCCATTCACTCTGCCTTAAGAGGCCACTGTAGACAACTCTTGTTACTCTCACTTCTTTCAATCCACCACAATCTTGCTTCCCTTTCAATCGCTGGCACACTGTGAGTGTCCTATTGGCACGTGGAGGATGGTTTCCCTTCACCTCATGCTCAGCTGTCACACTCTTCATAGTTACTATAGGTTGATCTCATCCATGAATATCAGTAAATTTGGAAATTAAAGGTTACCTGCTGATCCACAAGGAGCTTAGTTGGCTAGCATCATGAAATAAATTCAATATAGTAAAATACAAAATAAAAAAAAACTTTAAAAACAAAGTGAGCTATACAGGGATGGAGTGGCTCTACAAAATCCAGAATTAAGCCAGGTGTGGTTAAGATAGCAGCAAGGTACCTTACAATAGTGATGCAATTACTGTTATCAACAGGAAATTCATGCAAGAGTTCATTACTTAGTGTAGCACATCAGGAAAGGAAACAAAGGCATTAGTTATATTCTACTCTACTTTTTCCATGAAACAATTGTCACATTTTAGCTGGAAAACTGACATTGAAATACTCTGGTCAAATAAAGGACCATGATGTTGGGAAGACTAGAAGCTAAGACCAAGAGGAGTCCTTCAATGCACCTAGCCAGTTTCATTTAAAAAAAAAAAAGAGGACTTCCTTAGATTTGTCAAATAGAAGAGAAACCAAATGCTCCCATGTTTCCTCCAAGTGTGTGTCTGAACTCACCAGAGATTCCAAGAAGCCCAGGTTCAGCTTTACAGAAGAAAGCCTTACCACTCAAAACTGGCTGTCTCTAACGACAGTGTCTCCCTAGGCAGACATGTTTAACCAAGGCTAGAGGGAAACCTTATAAAGATGCTATGAAAGGCACATGTAGCGTGTGTGTGCCTGTAATGTATATAGGGATATAAAGGATATGCAAAGACAGCATTGTCAAGTTTCCCTGTAAAGTGCCAGATAGTAAATTTCAAGTCTTGTAGCACGTCTTGTGTGTTTCACAGCTGCTCAGTCTCTCCCACTATAGCTGTACTCAGGACACGAAGAAATGAATGGATCTGTCTTTCCATAAAAGTTTGTTTACAAAAACAACAATGGACCAGATTCAGTCGATCATAGTTTATCAGCCCCTGTGAGAGAAGACTAGTTTAGATGAACCTAATAAACACATAGAAAGTTTTTAAAAATCTGTAGAGAAATATTTAGAAATGGTTGAGTGGGAAGAATAAAATCATCATAAAAACAGTGATGGAAGCAAATATGCTAATAGCTTTGTAGAAAGAATTCCTAGAATTGGGTTCGGTGTAGAATGCAGAGGAAAGCTAGAACAAGATTAGAATTCTTAACTGTCGAGCAGGTGATCTGACCCAGGTGTCCAAAGCTGCTGCTTCATCTCATCCTTGTATTATGGGTAGTGCTCATATCGTACACAGGATCACACAGAAACATACTCCTGGTCTTCACACCCTGTCTAGGATTGACACTATAGCTTTGTGGATGGAAATACATGGGGAGGAAAAACCCCTGAGATTGTCCCATGGGACCAACCATGACTTTTGAAGGATCTCTGAGGATCGCATGAAGATTAATACCTGGATCCCTTTGACTTTCAGAGAAAGCTCTTCAGAGTTTATTGGAATCTCTGACCTGTCCACCCTACACACCAACCCAGCACCTAGAACGGGAGCAGGCCCTGGCAAAGGAGTTTGCAGAAATTCTGCATTTTACCCTTCGATTCGATGAGCTGAAGGTCAGGAGAAAAGCACTGTGAATGTGTTACATACTTATGTCACGTATAACTGCTTAAATCTCTCCTTCCTGAGCTGTGGGTGGGAGGCTAGAGTACGATGGTAACCTCTTCCCCAGACAGACATCTAATATAGTGAGTATTTGCATTCCGTGTGGTTAGAGTAACTTAAGATGATGATTTATATAGGGATATTCAAATCTGCCAAATGAAGTAAGAGCAAATCTTTTCAACTGTCTGTTCCTTATTGGGAAAAATATACTTTGCCTGAAATCTAGCCCATAATTAAAATGGGGCATACTTTAGAATAATGAACTTAGGAAACTATTTTTAAGCAAAAGTTTCTCTTACTCTGGCATGACAAAGAGATGTTTCAGCATATCATAAAATCTGCTGCCTGGGCTTCTCCTGTTTATATCCCACCTGATGCTGAGAGATGGGCTTCTCTTACGAATTTCAGATGAGGAACCCAGCTATTCAGAATGACTTCAGCTACTACCGAAGAACAATCAGTCGCAACCGCATCAATAACATGCATGTGAGTCTCAATGTCTCCCTTCCGTAGCACATTCCTCCATGACTCTGTTGAGCAGAGCTCAGAAGGAAGACATCTGTTTATTCTTCAATAGCCAGAGGGTGGTATTTGATTTGGGGGCTGTTTTGGGGTGGGTTTTTTTTGCTTTTCCTTTATAATTTCGTTTTCTCTTCTTGTCATCAGCTAGACATTGAGAATGAAGTTAATAATGAGATGGCCAACCGGATGTCCCTCTTCTATGCCGAAGCCACACCAATGCTGAAAACCCTTAGCAATGCCACGATGCACTTTGTCTCTGAAGTCAGTGAATTTGTGCAATCGGGGGGAGGGGGGGCTCTTCTTAACTATGCATAAAAATCACCATCAAGGCTAATGCATATTTGTGTCTCCCATTTAGAACAAAACCCTGCCAATAGAGAATACCACAGACTGCCTCAGTACAATGACGAGTGTCTGTAAAGTCATGCTGGAAACTCCGTAAGTGACACTCGAAGCATACTCAGAAATGCTATTGATGTGATGATGAGGATGATGATAAGATAGAAGATGGTGATATAATAATGATGATGATGACAGCATGTACCCTTGGTACATATATATTTGTACATATAAAGCATATAAAAGGTTACGTGTCTGTTATCCACTTCAGTTTCATAGAGCGCTATGTGAACCCCGTGTCCTTATGTCCATTTTATAGCTGAAACAATTGGTTGATAGATTTCACAAAGGATTCTTAGCTTACTTGATGGTAGGACCACACACTCCAAGATGCTGTAAAAGATATGCATGGAACAGATGGAAAGACAAGTTAGATGACTGAATCTTATTATAAACATCTTGCAGGCAAGTCTTGAATTTTAGAACCAAAAGTAGATAGTAAGATTATTACACAAGTGATCATTTCCATCTCTGTCTCCATCTCTTTAATCTATCTCCCTCTCTGCTTCTTTTTGTCTCTCCATCTCTGCCACTCAGTCTCTGTCTCTGTCTGTCTCTGTCTCTCTGACTCTCTGACTCTCTCCGTCTCCGTCTCTGTCTCTGTCTCTGTCTGTCTCTGTCTCTCTCTAACTCTGTCTCTCTGACTCCCTGTCTCTCCATCTCTGCCACTCAGTCTCTGTCTCTGTCTCTGTCTGTCTCTGTCTCTGTCTGTCTCTGTCTCTCTGACTCTCTGACTCTCTCTGTCTCTCTCTCTGTCTCTGTATCTGTCTGTCTCTGTCTCTCTATCTGTGTCTCTCTGACTCTCTCTCTCTCTGTCTCTGTCTCTCTCTGTCTGTCTCTCTCTGTCTCTGTCTATCTCTCTTTCTCTCTCTTCCCCTCCCTCTCTCTCTGTAGTTTCTCTGTGCCCAAACAATTTGTAGTTACTAGGGGCTAGATTTTAAAGAAAATAAAGGTGGTTGAAGAAGACACAGTATGGTTATGGGAAAATCCACACTCAAAGTCTAGGGTCTAGTTTTGTGTATCCCCTTACTGTGCCTACAAATGAGTGATTTGACCACCCTAGGCTTCCTTGCTTTCTTCCTCCGTTGAAGTTCCCAGCCTGCCATCCACTTTGCAGAGGTGCCAGGAAGGGCAAAGATGTCGAGAGTGCTTTAGAAAATGTCAGGTTCTGCTCAAATGTAAGAGGGCATTAATTTCAAATATTTCACTTATGCCAAAGTTAAGATGATTTATTCCAAGACAAGAATAGTAATCATCTTCATTGTGGGGCCATTTCCTAATAAAATAGATGCTAAGAAAGCCTCTGCAATTGGCCTTAATTATCTGAGTCATCAGGGTCCCTATCAAGGTAAGTGAACAAAATTCAAACTCCACACATACGCTCAGGTCAATGAATACTACATAATTTCTTTGAGGCATCTTTGTTAATCTAGTTCATCTGCAGCTTGTGTCTTAACAAAGGAAGTTACTCTGACTGGAGACATGATAGCCATTCTGTAGAAATGAGCCTGATTCTTTTTCTCTGTAATGAAGCCATTATTCTCTATAATCTTGGACAGCCAGAGGGACCTGCTATAAAATATTCAGGATTGATGGGTGGAGGAGTGATGTTCGTGATGAGCTGGCCACTGAAGGGCAGAAGGGAAGGGAATTTACTGCCCTCTAATTTACCTTATTTTTGCGCTGAATTGCCGGTTGGATAGATTCAAGGAGAATTATCATCGTTACTCTCTTCAAGAGTGTATTAACCTGGTTGTTACAGGCCTGAGATTGCTCTCCAGGGGAGGATTAGAAGAGAAGCCAGTGTGGAAACCAAAAAGCCTATGTCCCAACATGGAAGTGACGCCTGTACCCCATGTTTCTCTCTTTCAGGGAGTACAGAAGCAGGTTCACGAGTGAAGAAACTCTGATGTTCTGCATGAGGGTGATGGTGGGGGTCATCATTCTCTATGACCATGTGCACCCTGTGGGGGCGTTCTGCAAGACATCCAAGATTGACGTAAGCACGCCATGTAGTGCCATTTCCAAACAGGAGCTCGGGGATGCCCCGGGTAGACTCTGCTTCTCTCTCACTGACCTCTGTCCCCACTGAGAGAGCCCTTTCTAGTCACTGTTCTTACAGCAAGAACCCCGCTCTTCCTCACATGTGTATGATAAGATTTCCAGCCTCATCTACATAGTCAGAATACTGGGATGCCAATATTCTTGACCTCAGTGGAGCTAATAGAGGATCAGCCCCTAGCTGCACACTGCTCTTCAGTGACCTTGTGTGTCCTGCCAGTGTGTCTTTTCTATCTTCTGTGTATCTTCATGTGAGAAGAATTGGACGGTAATGGATTTCAAGGCACCATGGTCAAATGCCAATGACCTTCCAGATTTTTTTTTTCTGTATCTATGTACCTGCTGTCCCACTGAGACTTCTGCTTTTCTTGTCATGTGTATATGAGTCTGGGCTTGAGCCTGCCCTGACAGCCCTTTTCATCCTCTCCAGTGGTGTATTTCTTCCCTACACTCCTCAAGAGTTGTCTCAAGCAAGAACACATGTCCTTTGCACTGTAGATATGCCTTCCTTCTTCTCTGGTCCTCAGAGCACTTACCAGTTTTTATTTCTGACCCTCCCATTGTTTCTAAGATTTTGACAAGGATAAGGATCATGATCAATATATCTAAGGTCTGCTCCACTGCCTAGTATGGTATCTGGCTCAGAGTGAATATGAATGATGCTCAGTAGATGCTCTGTAGAGCCTTTCCTGAATGAATGAAATTGATGAATGAATGACTTGGTTATGCAGGTGCTTTCCTGTTGATTTCAGGATTCACATCCCCCTCCTGCTCCAGAATTTGCCTACCAAATAGTGCCACCAACCCAACAGTGTGTTCCATATAAAACAGTCTAAGTGAAAACTAGGAGCTTTGGGTCCTTACTGTGGCATGGCTCATGCAGGGTGACACGCTCTGTCCATTGGTCTGCACAAAACAGTGTTTTGGATGCATCAGAACTGTCAATATGAAGTCTAGATGCCTAGAAGGGCCATAAACTTGAAGAATGGAGGCAATTTGTAGATGAAAAATGGAACTTGAATTATTATTTTGAGGTCCTGGGCCCTAACTAGCAAAGCTAGGCACAGTTCTTCATTAAATTATGATTTCCATGTTAATTATAGCTGTTTGCTAAGAGAACAAATATTTATTATGAAAACATTTTGAAATGTGGGAAATCAATATATACAAAGTTAAATCAATCTGAAATAATCTCAGCATAGTCCTGAGCACTACTAGTATTTCAGCAATCATGTCCCCTCTTTTCACATGTGGGTTTGCTTAGCAAATTAGGACCCCACATACATAGTATTTTAACAGGTTTTGAAATTTTGCAAACAGTATGTTATAAGCTTATGTTCATACCAACAAATACATTGACTGGTGTTTTCATACTCATAACCAATCAGATTGATTATAAGTAAGTATGAGTAGTTCTATAGGTATCATTTAACTATGAGCTGAATTTGTTACCTGGAATTCATAACACATTATTTAACTTAACACATAGCCAGCTGTTTAAAATATGCTGGATGTCCCTATGCCTTCTATCCCTAACCTTTGAAAAGCTTGACTACATATCTGTTGCTGAGTCTTTCTGTTGAGGTGCTATATGATGTTCATCTTCAGCTGTAGTGTTGATGAAGGTTGTGTTTATTCAGGTCAAGAGAGGCCCTTTTACTGAATTTTGTCTGTGTGTCTAAGAAAGCATCAGGTTTACCAAGCACAGCACATATTTGAGATGGGTCCTTTTCTGTAATAATATGAAGGGTCTTCTCGCAGACACTAGTCTGCTGGATTTATAAGTCCTTAGGGCATCAGCATCCACTGGGAAGAGACAAGTGTTGATTTAAGAGGTCTTAGAGATGTCCTATGCAAGTTTGCACAAAGATTGTGCTGTGGTTTGCAGAGAACCAGACACCCAGGTAAGGGAAAAACCCATTCTGCTTAGGAGCAGAGATCAAGTGATGTTTGAAATAGTCTTGAAGAAGGTGTAGAATTTCTCCAAGCAGACAGAAGGAATGAAGAGTAGTCTGAGTAGACAGAATCATTAGAGCAAAATTACCAAGACTCCAAGGGTATGAGTCATGTAGACAGTAGACAATTTGTGGACCAGGAAGGGGTGACAAGATGTTTTCAAATAATCATGTTTTTAGATTCTTATGAAACATTTTATAATTACTCTTTATGTACGCATTTTATAATTACTCTTTACCCATAATTCCAGACCCCACTTCCTGTGGACACCTGAAACATGGCTATTCCCAAACCAATGAATCTCTTTCCCCACACACATCCGTCCTCCTTGATTCTCTACTTTCAAGTATTTCCCCATTCTCCTACCCAGTAGCGAAGCCAGAAACCTAGAAATTTCCTCTCTCAGATTTCAGAGAGTACTGTCTTCACCCTCAGGGTCTCCACACCCACTGCTCCACACCCCTGATTGCACCCATCCAGCACATTCCATAAGCCTTTTCTGTGTCTGAGTTCCAGATGTTGTTGTTATGATGGATAGACGTAGACACTAGGATAGACTGGATTTCCAGGATATTAACCAAGCACTGTGCTTTTTCCTGCTAGATGAAAGGCTGCATAAAGGTATTGAAGGAACAGGCTCCGGACAGTGTGGAAGGGTTGCTGAATGCCCTCAGGTGAGTTGACTCTGTTATAGACTGACACGAGGCAATCAGTTCTGCAGATCTGCTGTTGGAGACCAAGAACCGTGTCTTCTAACATGTCTGCTCTTCCCAGCACCCTTTTGGTCAACAGAATTTTCATCGTTCCCCTTTTATAGAGGAGATAAACGGAGATGTAGAGAAGTCAAATAACTTTTCTGACATCCTATAGTGAAAGACCATGCTAGGGTCTGAACCTGAGTCTGAGGATGGCACAAGGCCCATGAGCCTGGTTCTTGGCCTCTTTGCTTTGTGGATCCTGGAAGCTCCTCAGAAGAAGAGGTCCCTGCGTCTTATTTCCCTCTTCAGCAGTGGTTCCCATACCTGGCTACACATGAAGATTATGTGCATAGTTTCTGGAGACATTGATGCCCAGACTTGGACCTAGCCCACATGAATCAAATCTCTGGGTTGATGTGCAGGCACCCATTCTGTATTTGGTTGTTTTTTGTTTGCTCTAAAGTCATCCAGATGATTCACAGAATCCAAGAACCTTGCAATGTACTGACATACACTAGACTACATTCAAATATAAATAAATATGATATATACAGAAAATGCATATACCATATTTCAACACTTTGGTTAGATACCTAAGTATTTTGCAGCTATGGCTCATTCCAGCACCTCACTGCTAACAAGTAATGCCCAGACACCTCTACTCTTCCAAAGGATGCAATTCTTAATCCACTTTAAGGAGAGACTCTTTTTTTTATCTGTGATGCATGTACAAGATTTCACTGAATTTGACTAATTTGTAAACTGTCCCAGTGCTAGATTGCAATCTAGAAGGCTTGTAGTCCTAGCTTAATTTCCCTCTGTTTCACTCAGTGTTATACATGCAGTCCATTTACCAAGTCAAAGTGAACAGATCAATGTTATTCCATCTACATATAGTCAGATTTTACATTCCATCTCTAAACACAGTGTCTCATTTAATCCCTACAATTTATGAATGTAAAGCTGATAGATCATACCCATTTGATAAATGAGGAACCCTAGATGCACATGAAGTGGTATGGAACCGAGGCCGACACTGTTCTTCTGGGTGACAAAGTCTTCAGCCTGCTTCAGAATGCTTGCACTATTAACATAAGAACCTTGCAAATTCTGTACATAACCCACAATACTTCCATTGGTGACCATTTTGCACCAGACCAGCTTTCCATACAAAGTGAGAAGATTTACTGGGAATTTCATAAATTCCAAGTTTCATTCAATCTGGCAAAACTTCCTCAAGATCAGGGCACTCTGCTAGGCCTTGAGTCCCCTTGAGTGTTGGGATTTGTGTATCCTGCAGACACATGATTTTTAAAAATGCATAAGCTTTTGAAGGAATCGCACACACCTAGACTGATGTCACAAATTGCTCATAAATTGAAAGGAACAACTTTGTGATCTACAGTGGGACTTTTAGTCTCTCTGAATCTTGGATTTCTCATCTGTAAAATTAACCTGAAATTCACCTGAAATGTAATTGTACGTAATTGCAACTCCCGTGGAGTACTGATTACATGGTCAAGATATTTTGTAACATGGTAATTGTTTGCATGCCTTAGCACAAATAATTCTGCATCAGGCTAATGGGAGATTGAAGAGTGCCCCCAAAATTAGCTTTTCCCTCTGCATTTGTGCCTACTTGTGGTGGTAAAGAGGATGATCAGGGGCTGGGAAGGTGGCTCAGTGGTAGAGCCTTGCATGCATGAGGCACCGCATAAGCAAAAAAAGCCAGAAGTGGAGCTGTGGCTTAAATGGTAGAGCACTAGCCTTGAGCTAAATAGCTGAGGGACAAAGCCCAGGCCCAGAGTTCAGGCCCCACGACGGACAAAAAAACAAAACAAAACAAAAAAAAACAACAACAAAAAGAAGATGAGCATTGCTACAAAAGTAGAAAACCAAGAAAGTTATTTGTCAGATATCCATATTTTAAAATTTTGTGTGTGTGTGTGTGTGTGTGCGCGCGCTGGTTTGGGGACTTGAACTCAGGGTCTTGTGTTCTTGCTTAACTTTCTTGCTGTCTCTACCATGTTAGCCATGTATGGTCTTCCTTTTTCTGATTAATTGGAGATAAAAATCTCTCAGATTTGTTGGCTCAGGCTGGCTTTGCACCAGGATCTTCAGATCTCAGCCTTCTGAGTTGCTGGGATTCCAGTTGTGAGCCACTGGTTGGTCACATTTTGGAATTTATGATTCAGCAAGAGTAGTAGTTAAAAGTCTATCTCCCTCAAAACTTAGTCCTATGGTATCTCCTCTATGTAGTTATTTGGTTAGGTAGAAAAAAAAGATTCATCATGCCAACTGCCTTTAGAAAAAAGAAGGAAATATTAGCTCTTGAGAATACAGAGAGCACTGAAGTGTTGCTCTTTGTCTAAAGAAGCAAGACCATGTGTTTGATGTACAAATACCAATTTTTCCCCAGAGGTAAGGATGGCTGGTGAGTAACTCCTGGATGCTTTTGCAAGCACTATTTTCTCACTGACCTTCTGTTTCCATCAGGTTCACTACAAAGCACTTGAATGATGAGTCGACTTCCAAACAGATTCGAGCAATGCTTCAGTAGAGCCCCGCTCCAAAAAGAGGATCTATGTGCTGACCTCAGAAGATGTATATGTTTACATAATTTAATACAGATTGATGTTAATACTTGTGTATTTACATAACCATTTCCTTCTTGTCACTGAAATATATGGACCTTAATTTGTATCCTCACTGACTCAACCCAGCAGAGCATAAATTGACTTGAGAGTCTTACCTTTGATGTCTGAAATGAGTCCCCTTTTCCCTCCTCCTCAAACCCTTTCTCCAAAGGCCAAATTTGGAGACTTTGATCTTGGCTACTGGAGTTCCTTTAACAACACCTGTAACAATCAGAAATTCATAATTGTTTGTCATAGTAGTTTAATTCTAGATGTGTTATCTTTCTGGGAAGTATAGTTTATCGAAACACAAAAGTATTTGATTTCCTGTACGGGCTCAGATACAAGAAACACAACTGTTATCCTCACAGAGGAAGAGAGGAATCCAAGAAAAGAAAAATGCATGTGGAGAACCAAACCCAAGTGTTATAAATTCAGCACGCCCCCCTCCCTTTTCCTCAGCCTGCAAAACCCACGTGCAGTTTTTCTGTTTGCACGTGTTTTATTAAAAAATCAGCATTTTCCCTTTCTGTCTGGATTTGTATCCCTCTAATGCTCCCTTTTAGTTTTGTAAGAAGAAAATTGCCTGCATTGTAATCAGGAAGGAGCAGCAGGGATAAATAGATGGGTCTTACAGCTAGACTGGCAAGAGTTATTGTCTTGAGTATATTTGAGAAAAATGTTTCCAGGACAGTCTCTATATACATCAACTGTCTACAGAGACAGGGATTTCCCTGACTCTCACCTTGACATCGTAGGTATATTTACTGACCTCCCAATTATCTCTTGAGTAACTGGGCACAGAGCTCCTTCAGATACAGAACTTTTGTTTTTCTATCTTTATGGTTGATTTAAGAACGGAGATGTATGGCACTGATTTGTCACCAGAAAACTAAGGGAATTTAAAGAGAGAGAATGATCATTTTTCTGGTTATCTGGTATTTTAAAAGTGACTCCTTCCTATGACAACTTATTAAAGCAAGAAAGCTGTGGTCAGATTACCTTGGAAAAGTGGTTCAGCTCTCTGCAGCTCAGCTTGCTTATTCACAAAATGGGCAATTGAGATAAGCAATATCCAAAAGCCCAATAAGGCCAAGTGCCATTTTTTAAGGCTGACTCTATTTTACTTTATGCATCCTTCCTAAGCAGATTTACATGAGCATTGTCACACCTGCCTTGGTTTTTCAATCTTACAAGGCCTTTAGTCACTCTTATTTGCAGATCAGAGCTGACTTAGGAGACTTGCAAATCTATTCGGACCCAGAAAACATGGTCAGGTGGGATGATCTAGGATCTGAGGAGGAATTCCTCCTGAATCCACATGTCTCCATTTCTACCATTGAGCCTGTAAGAACATACTATGGGAATGGAACTGGACCCTTATGAAGAAATCCTCAGTCTGGCCTATGCTGTTACTATCACTGGTGGAGAAGGAAAGACATTCCTTGTGAGTGATAATCCCAGACCAGAGCTCATGTCTAGGTACTTCAGGATTTGGCACCAATCACAACATTCAAAATATGGAGCTCTTATTGAACATTGCTTTCTGGGCTTTGAGTAACCAGCCAACATTTCTGTAAGTCATTTTTTAAAAAGTGTGGTGGGGGAAGGAGGTGGATAAATACTTGTTCAATCACCATGATAGAGATTCTGATGTATATGTAAATGTCAATCAATAAGGACAGGAGAGGCCCCCGTCTTTGGAGCTTCTCACGTACAAGAAGTACAGCTGTTTGAATGTAGCTTCTTTCTTCAGAACAACATTATCCTAGATGGTCTCTGTGAGCTTTTCAAGTCTAGGAATTCTAAAACAACTCGAGGAAACCAGAAAATGCGGTACTGTAGGGCAAGCAAATTATTAAATATTCAGCTCTTTTAAGAGGTGATCTATTTGGCAGCCACGCACTTTGCTTGGGCTGGAATTGCCATGCCTAGGAATACAGAAGTACATAATGTTTATCATCATGGGATCATTTTACCTCTCCCTCAGGTCAAAACATGAAAGTTGGAATAGAAGGAAGGACTTGCCAGTTACTGCTTGGCACGTGAGGCACAGACCCAGCAACTTGAACCCAAGCCATGTGTTTATACCACAGCTGCCTTTCAGCTGGCTAAATGAGAAAATGTTAGGGATTATCTGTCAAATTATATATATACATATATATACATATATAAATAGTTGAGCACATTTATAATTTTTAATTAGACTTTCTATCAAATGGGACCAAATATATGCATGGGGTTGCTGGCTTGCTTCAGTTTAACCAGGGCAACTGTCTCAAAGCTAACATTCACCACCAGGATGTGGATTCTGAAGAAACCTGGAGATTCAATAGTTGCCTCTGATGTTCAGGTGGACAGGCTGACCGTCTGTGATCGTTAACAGGGAGTGGGACTTGGATTCACTCCAGAACTGTTGTGGGAGACGAATTCTTTTAACAGGCTGTCCACCAAGCATCAGGAGTCCTTGAACAATCAGTTTTCTTGTGTGTGCATGCACACGTGTCCAAGACTTGTGGGTGGTTTAGGGGTGTGTGCTAGTGATGTCAATGTTAGCTATATTTCATATTTGGTGTCTCATAGTTTTCGAATAAACAGTGTTTTCAATGACTCTGATACTTCTTTTTTCAATAAGCAGTGAGTTGAAAATGATGTTTCTCAAATACACTGCTTCTGTGACATGATAACTCTGTGCTGCTTTGAATTCAGTCAAACAAATAAAAAACAGGTGGAAATGGATGTTTCGATTGTGCTGGTGCATGCATTAGGACTAGCATATTAACAACCAGGAAAGTGGTCTTGGATACTATTTTTAATGTTTAATTAATATCATGTTTCACCAAGATTAGCTCTTAGCACAATAGTCATGGAAATCCTAGGACTTTTTTTTTTAATACATCATTGCATTTAAGGAAAAATAATAATATGCTTCCTTGAATAAAAAAATGAATCTTACCCAATCTTGGGATCCAATTGTGCAACAGAGTTTAGAGACTTCTCATTGAATCTCATATCGCAGACAACTACAGAATTTTCTTGATATTAATAACTAGCCCTGGAATTTTATCTCCTAGAGCCTAAAACCTTGGAAGCCAACTTTTATGTGGCATCTGTGAAGGCTTTTGTAAGCTTAAGTTAGCCTGTTTTGCCTCTTTTCCTATGGGAGCTATGTTTTTAGTATGAAATGAAAATGGAATTCTGTTACATGCATATATTTAAAAATATACTTCTATTTTATATGATGTTCCAGTTGAAATGGGTAACTCTGAGGAAAGCACACCAACTGTCCATTCACCTCTCAGCACTTCAAGTACAGCACAAAATTCAAAAATAGCTTGCTCTTGGTACCATGCATCTCTGATCCATTTCATTTAGGACACCGTCAGAGTGTGTGTGTGTGTGTGTGTGTGTGTGTGTGTGAACAGACATGATATCTAAAGATGCATGAGGCTGCTTGTCAAGGATCTTAAACCTTATTAAATGTTCTTTTCTTCTTTCTTAAGAGCACAGTTGCAGTTTCTGTGTTTATCAAGGTCAGTGAAAACCTGTTCCACCAAAGTACATCATTTTTAGACCACATAAGCATTAAAACAAGTCTTTAAACTCTTCAAGATTAAAGCTTTCCAGAGATCCAGGAAGATAGCAAAAAGAGAACAGAGAACAAACTAAGCTCTCATAGAACAAGCAGAGTTTTAGGGTCCCATCATGTACTCCATATCTAGGGAGTCATACCAAGTAAGCTATAATAATACACCAAAAAAGGAAGATTATAAACTGCTTGCAAAAGAAAACAGAAACCTGTGAAGAAATGCCTGGTGAGTTGGTGTCACGTGGAGGCAGCAGCCGAGCCTGTGGCTTTGTGCATACCTTCAGTACAGACTTTAAAGAGCCCACATGGGAGAAAGCAGGAATGGGAGCACACAGCAGAGCTGGCCAGTCGTGCACAGAGACAATTCACCACACCACAGATGGTCGGAAGCAACACCAGGAACCGTGAGTACCCTGCAAAGAGAACAGCACCCACCTGCCATTTTTGAACGCGGCCAAGAGGCCTCCAGAGCACCTGGCTAAAAACACTAGACAAAGAAGCAGTACCATTTATGAAAAGGGCAAAGGAATCTTATACCCCTTACACCACCCTTCTCTGGCAGCTAACAAAAGACCAGCCCAGTGTGAGGTAGCACTGCTCCACTGCAGTGAGCAAGGACAAGGTCAGCATTCCAGCCAAAGTCTAGTCCAGCCCTCAGCCAGCCAAGCACCTTGAAACCATAAAACTGAGAGTCTCCAAAATCTCAATGGAAAAAAAACAAAAACAAAATAAAACAACAAAAACAGACTGGTCTTAAAAACCGTGTGTGATTCCAAGCTGAGCTGAGTGGAAATCCAGGTGCTAGTTACCCCCTCCTTATCCGAGAACTCTACAGATTCCAGATATGCCACAGCCCTGCCCACACCCAGGATGGCTGCAGATAAGAGCCATCTCCTTTCTGTGACCTAAGGAGCCCCAACTCCCAGAGCCACCTAATCGAGACTGGGAGGAGAGCTGCAGAGACTCCAATTTTGTAAGGCAGAAGGTTCCTCTGGCCACTCAAACTTATTGAAGGTTTCATCTCTTCTCTTTGATTTATAAGCTACAGACATACCTTAAAAACCTAGCTATTTCCCAATTGTACTAACTGTGAGAATGTAGATAACAGCCACACCCCCACGTCAGGAAGGTTTCAGAATTCAATTATGCCCCCAGCTCCCTGCACTTAAGCAGTGTAAATCCCAACCTACAACCCTCAGAGATGCCTCCCACCCATGAACTAGGGAAGTCCACCTCGTGGACTTGGCTACTGAAGGGTTAAAGTACTTGAGGCAGTGACCATTTGTTGCTTGTTTCAGAGCAGAGCAACACATGGTGCTAAACCACCTGGTTGTGTGCCTTTATAAGACCTGCAAATCCTTAGCTCGGGGCTCTCTTCCTAGTCTCTGCTGTGCGGAGTATAGGACGAGGCCCGAGCTGCAGCCCGTCTAAATAAAACCTTAAAACAGCTGTAGAGTCTGACTCTCGGTGGTCTTCTTGGTGGGGGTCCTGTGACCTTGGCATACAGCTACAAGGACAGATGCAGATCTCAGCAACTAGAACAGAAACTCCACTAAGATACTGCAAAACAAACATCAGGACACAAAGTTTCCCAAACAAATTTTTGGTTTTTTTGTTGCTCTTGTTTTGTCTTAGATAGATAATCTATACTGATTGCTAAGCCTGTTTCTTAGTTGCATACATGTTTAATTTGGGCTATATTTTTGATTTCCTTTTTTTTCAGTTTTTAGATTTTTCCTTCTTTTCCTTTCCCTTTTTAAAAACTTATTTTATTCTTTTTTTCCTTCCTTTATGTTATTCTCATTATTTCTCTTGGGTTTTTTCCCTTGTTTTTCTAGTCTTTCTCTTTTTCTTTATTCTTTTGTTCCCTTTTTGTTTGTCTGTTTGATTGTCTTGTTTCTACTTTGATTCTGTCTGGTTGGCTCATCTTGTTATCTTTTTGGTTTGGTTTAGTTTATCCTGACTCTTACAACAGAATTGCTTACTGGCTATACATACAGATAGATATAGATAGATAGATAGATAGATAGATAGATAGATAGATAGATAGATAGATAGATAGATAGATAGAGATATATAGACATATATATA